ATATTGTGTGGGGGTATTGTATGCCTATTATAAACAATCGCCAGCTTCAAAGGGCCCTTGGAAGGATTTTTTCTGAATTTTTATTTAATATCATAAGTGTTTGTGGTGGCTGGAGGGGTAGTTCCGGGGCAGCTAATGGCTTGGTGATTTTTTATATTGTGTAGGGGTATTTTATGAGTCCTACAAAAAATCGCCAGTTTCAAAGGGCCTTTGTAACGATTTTTTCTCAATTTTTATATAATAAGGGTAAAACTTTGTGGTGGCTGGAGGGGTAGTTCCGGGGCAGCTAATGGCTTGGTGATTTTTTATATTGTGTGGGGGTATTGTGGGAGTCCTACAAAAAATCGCCAGCTTCAAAGGGCCCTTTGAAGGATTTTATCTTAAATTGTTTTTTCCAAGTGTAAGTTTTTGGTGTGGCTGGAGGGGTAGTTTTTGTGTTTTGAGGAGCTAATATATCATTTTTAGGGCTCTCTGTCTCTATTCGAAACTGAAAAACCATTTTCAGTTTCAGGAGCAAAAAAAATTTTTTTTTGATTTTCGTTCATAAATGAACGTTCGGAACTTCAGGTACATAAAATTCTAGTCGAATCTTTCGGATGCTACAAACAGCTTTACGACCGTCCAAAAATTATAAGAAGTTTTTTGCACACACGCGCACACAGGTAGTAACATCCTCATAAAAAATTAGTACGACAGTTGACTCTAAAGACCATCCCTGCAACTTTCCGCTACACATTACATTTTTGAACTCTTCGATAGCTCAAAACTCTAATAGCAGTTTAATAAAACACAATTTTTTGAATTTTCAAACGGCAATAACTTTTGGGTGAATGAACCAATTTTTACGCAGTTGGCGGCATTCAATGCAGTTTTTGAAGCTCTATAAAGAACCTTCAAGTTTAAATCGATCGAGCCAGGAATTTCGAAGTAATTCCAAAGAAACACTTTTTTCGGTTTTTTTTTCGACAACGATAACTCACAAACGAATCAACCGGTTTTGACCGAGCTTGCGGTGATCGACATGGTTTTTCTATGTTAAGAGCTGATTAGATTTTTAAATTGATCGGTTAAGCCATTTAAAAGTAATTCCAAAAAAACCACATTTCAAAAAATTTTTTTTTGTATTTTTTTTTTGAGATTTCTCAAAATCTACTGGTTCGAATCGGTCCAAATGGTATTCAAAATTTAAGTTTAGTCAAGTCTTTTCAAATGGCGCCAACCGCGATGAAATCGGTCGAGCCGTTCAAAAGTTAT